ATCACGTGGTAACATGGGCAGGAACACCTTCTCATGCATTCTCGTTCGTATTTCCTTTCTACACCATGTCATTGCTTTTGAGGGTGGCGCTTGGTCCACACAAGACCTTGGCTAATCATCGGTTGATCCTCCCCGCCGTGTTTGCTTTTTATCGCAGGACGGCACGGCCCTGACGTTTTCCCCACCTCTACCCCAGGCAAAGCTGGCGGCCATCCGCCGCGTAGGATTCGGGACAGCCGACAAGTTTTTCGTGAGGTAAAACCTAAGTTTTTTCACTTTCACTCTAAACTTCTGCCTCTTGTCTACGACAGCAACCTCATGTAACCATGTACGTGAGATTTGTCCTCGACGGGGTATCTGTTTGATGGTGGGAGGCGAGGCTGCTGTTGTTTAGCGGTAATAGTTGGAAGCGCTGACGTTGTCGATGTAGCGCGTCGTGCAAGCAACGCGAGCGGGTGTAGCAGGAGAGGTTTCGCATGAGACACTTGTTTGTGTTGGTTCAAGGTAAGTGTCTAGAAGGGTCTTAGTGGTTTTTGTCGACCCTACGCAGTACCCCCATTTGCCGACGGCATTGCAGCGATCGTCTGCCCCTTGGAAAGATGCAGCCAAGTCGTTGCGTGTCACCCGGTTCATCTTGCTATCCCCAGATTGAGTTGTAGACTTCGCCCATAGGACCGCGGATGATGCTCCCGACCCAGCTGTTGCGAGATCGTACGAACGTTGGCTTCCTGGCAGGTGTCGCGGTATGTAGTAAAGCCGGCCCCAAGTGATCTTTCGTCTTGTCGACAAATGTGTTGACTCGCTAGGGTACCCCGCCTCGCAATATCTGACGGACGATCCAGGTGCACCCGTATGGGCTCGGCGGGCAGCGGCAGGGCCGGCCCCGACGCGTCGCTCAACGTCGGCGTCTTGAGGCCGATAGAACAGCAGCAGCAGCAGCAGCAGCAGGGGCGGCGGCGGTGGCGAGATCGAGGAAACAACGGTCACCAGAATCCCTCGTGGGTGGACGACATCTTCTCCTTCCACTCGGAGGGGCGTTACGTCTACTCGTGGCTCACGGGGGCCTCGGCGAGGGCCGCGGAACACACCCAAGACGCGGACCACGTTACCGACGCCCTCCTCTCTCTGCTGCGAACCACAACGCGGGACCCCTCCTGGCAAGCGGCGCCCGAGCAGGACCAGGAACAGGACCAAGCCTTGGACGACGTTGGGCGAGGAACAACGGCTGCTGCGGCTGGGGCGCTGGTGCGGTCCGACTGGTTCTCCAACCCGCTGTTTCGTGGATCGTACTCGTACCTTGGCACGGGCTCGTCGCCGGCGGACATGGAGGAGCTCGGTCGGCCGCTATCGGCTCCCGCGGGGGTCGACGCAGAAGGCACCGGGAGCGGTCCTACCGGCGACGGTAGGCGTCTTGGAGAAGAAGATCGAGAAGAGCCTGCCGGAGAAGGTGATGGGGGTGGTGGTTCTCTCTCTCGTGCGAGGGTTCTCTTTGCCGGAGAGGCCATGCACGCGCGCTTCTTCTCGACGGCCCACGGGGGTTTCGATACCGGCCGGCGTGCGGCGAGGGAAGTGCTGGCGAGTTGCGGCTTCAAAGATTGCTCTGATCCGCTGCACAAGCCAGAGGCGGTCGAATTTGACGCTTGATTTTGGATGCATTGACAAGGAAGCAGGTGGTGTCGATGTGTGGTTGTACTACGACACCTGCTTCGTTCGGCAGCGATGGTTTCATGTTTATCTCGACTTGGACAGTTTCTCCCGGCGGTGTGATATTCATCCGCATACGAAAATGGGCAAATTTTCTTTGCCTTGCCCTTTTGGATGATAATTTGTTGTGATAGCCATTCTGTCAGGTAGAACGGTGATATGTTTTGGTCTTGATTGGTTACGGCCAACTGGCGAATTTATCTTCCTCGTCTCTCTGCTGAATGACCTGGAGTTCGCCGCGCAAGACCAATTTAAACCAGCACTTGTGTTTCATCGAAATTCCCCTAGTATAGACAGCTGGTTTCCCTGTGAAGGGCCATTGATATATTTTATGTAATCCTACAGCGGTTTTAGCTTCGCCCAAAGGTGCCTCCTTTTGGACACTAGGGGTTCAGCTACTTGGCTCTTTCGGTTGAGAATGTACGGGGTGAGGTCACATTGCCGAGAGGTATGCGATGACCAGACTTTTCCCTTCGAACCAGGAGCTTTCCAATGCTCTCGATTATAAGAAGTCGCCACCACTCAAAGAACCCTTCTTATTTTGCCCGAAGCCCGCATCTTATTTTGTCTTTGGGGTAGATTTACCTTACATCGATAATATGTAGGTTGTGGTGTTGGCTTCTGTACTGAACACACGTCCTGCTGGTCAAGTTGTTTGGTCTCCATATTATTAAGCCTGGTGTTCTCCCTCCGTAAGCCCCAGGTTCCTAGGTGGCGGTGCGTTCTATATGAATGAAAAGTGTGTGTTCGAAACGTGGACACCTGAAGATTTAGTAAGCCCCTCCTGTTAAACCACACACCTATGGCGTCGTTTAGGGCAACTCAGAATGTGCGGGCGCACCCTTGCTGAGTAGCAGGACAACAAGGGTATCTACTACTACGACGGTTTGTGCGGTACTGCCTTCACCGATGTGCGGAGACGAATCAATCAAGGGAGCTTTGTGTCCATGTTGGACATCGTTGGCATGCCTATTTCTGCGCTGGCAGTGAACAGGTCGCTGTGAAGCACACCCAAGAAGCGCAACACGTCCTGTTTGTAGGAGAGGTCGAAGCCCCGGTATTCATAGCATTTGACAACGGGGATTACTGTTGGAAGTTACGATTGGGGAACTTTACGAATGAATGTGATATTTCTATTTGCGCCTGTCTGTCAACAGGAAGTGTCAGAATGAAGCAAAGGATGGCGGGACGAATGGAGACAGAGGCAGAGGCAGAGAGAGCGTGAGAGTTTAGAGGGGAAGAGGAGAGAGAGATAGACAGATGGATAGAGAGAGACAGAGATAATCAAGGAGACCCGGAAAGAGAGGGAGAGGGAGAGACAGAGACAGAGACAGCGACAGTGATGTCTACAGAGTTGTGGTTCTAAAGAATTTGAGTACAGTAGTAGGGCTGAGAAAGGAAGAGTACCTAAGCGAAGAAGTAGGGGTGTCCTCAATGTTCGTGATAGTTGCTGCTGTTCAATGGCGTGTATGTATGCCGAAGTAGGCTGGGCCGGAGCTAGTTGCAGTTTCTCACATTGCTGGTGTTGCAACATATTGTATTGGATCATATGCATAGGGCCGGAACTATTTGCAGTTCTGCAGTTCAGCACTTTGCCAGTGTGTGTTCTGTTCAATTCTGGATTCTTATGTCTTGTTTTCTCTCGCGTTGGGTGCTTCGTTTTCGCGGTCAAAGCTGTACGACCTCTACATGGTATTGTATACGAAGCACTCTGAGTCCACGTACGTACCAGGCGAAGGAGCCAGCTGCGATGAGAGCCGGCATCGCAAAGGCATGGTGCCAGGCTCCCTGTCGCTACGGCGAGATGTACAGTAGTAAAGCAGCAAGAGAGTGATTTCCAACGGAAGAATTTTCATTCCGAGAAAGAACCGCCCGACCTCCAGCAGATGGCAACGTTATCAGGTTTCATGCGCAGCAATCCCAGAGTACCCTTGGTGACCACCCAATGTGTTGATTCGTCTTTTCTTAAAATAGGAACGCATGGCCATCGGTAGACTGAACAAAGGGGGCGGTGACTCCAGTGGGATGAACCATTTAGGACTCGGATAGTACGCAAAGCTACCGTTCACACCCTCTTCTTCAGTTCCGTCAGTTTTCACTCTGTCCAATCGTCGTTCATTGAGGGGAGGATCGAGGATCGAGTACTACTGGCCATGGACGGCGGTTGCCATGCGGCAGCCATTGCCCCTTGTTTTAATCTGGCTCACACTGCCAATAGCAGTAGACGCGCCCGGATGCACGATATTTAGCCGTACTTCACGGTGCTGTAACTCGGCTCGCCCTTGGAGTCTAGAGCTCGCGACAGGGGCGCCGTGATCGTGAGAGTGGCACGCCCACGTCGGCGAAGACGGCCGAAAAAATTGTTTGAACCCCATTTACCACATTGATTGAACATACGTTTGAAAACCGAGGAAGATTGCATTCCATATGACTAAAAGGGTGCCACACACAAAACGCCCGACCAGTACCTAACACATATCATCTGCACCTTCCCAACATAACATATATGAGACACACAAGACAACCACCAAACTGTCTTGTTGAGCCTGTTACCCGCAGGGGAGATGTCCCTATATGCTGTCTGGGAAATCGTAGACATACAGGTACTTTTCTGACGCTATGAATCCATTGCTAATTTGTCTCAGACTCTTTTCTATGATGGAGATGGCTCCGTGGTGTCATATTAAGAAAAAAAAAACAAAACAATTAAAACCGTTTTTCCGCACCGCAACGTCTAGCTCAATGACTGAAATAATAGTGGTTGCGTGCATTCACCGTGCTGTAACTCTACTCGCCTTTGGAGTTTCGCGCTCGCGACAGGGGCGATGCGATCCAGAGAGAGACTGGCCCCCTGCAGCGGGCAACAGCCGGCGAAAAAAAAAGTCTCAAGGCGACCGCGAACTGATGCACCGAAAAAAAACGTCTTGCTTTTAGAGTACAACAACAATGGTTGAACTCTTGCGTCTCAGGCCTCCGACATAATTGTAGTTAAGTCTATACTCACAGGATGGTCGTCGTGACGTGATACATTTCTTGTTATTTGTAAGAAAAAAATAAAAAGATGGCTCGATTTTTGTATTTCTACAGCAGTATGGACCAGACGCCGACTGTACATAGAAGTCGTACGAGTGTCGACTTAGTTGTGCTGTCACAGCATCTTCCACGCACTTCTGCCAGTGCTGGTTTGTTGATTGGAGCCTTGTAGGTCGAGATACAGCCGTGATATTCTCGGGTTGTGGAGGCAAAAGTGAACCAGAGCAAAAAATTGCATGCATATTTAGCTCGATTACTGCTGTGTTTTTGCTTACAAGCAGTATGGACTAGACGCCGAACGACGTCCGCGTACTACGGCAACGACCTAACTGGATCGGATACTTCCTGTCACGGCGAACCACAGTACAATGCGATGCAAACATCCGTTCGTGTGTCGTGCGGCTGCCACATGTGTCGGACGACAGGTACACGTAGAGCTCTCGCCATGTTGTTGTCGTTACCGCGCAGTAGGACCCCTCGGAGATCATCCACATGGTGCTACAACGACAGCAGTACTACTGTACTGCTGTACATAGATGTCGTAGGAGAGTGGAGTTGTGCTGTACGGCATCTGACACGCACTCTCCTACCGGTGCTTGCGTCGATTGGAGTCTTGTAGGCCGAAATACAAGAGTGGGTTGGGATCCCGGGTTGTGGAAGCAAACCTGCTTGCAACAACAGAGAAGGCGGTGTTCTATGTCCTAATGTATCCCGCTCAACTTTTTTTTTTTTTTTGCGACATGTGGTTGCATATTTCTTTGCCACTGCCGAAAAAGACCGCTGGATCTTTACGCAGTCCATCTTTCGCATTTATCATTTTACACCGAACGACGCAGGACGGCTTCATCATTGTTGTTGTTGTTGTTGTGTCTTCACATTAAAAACCGTACCGATCTCTCTCTACCCAGTACCTTCACACAATTGTATGTATGTCCGTACTTGTGGGTTACCAGTTGGAAATTGTGGGAATCCCTTCATTCCGAGAGAGCCATAGGTCGGCATCCGGCCTTTTCTTTTTGTACGCTCTTTTCTTCTTGTGAAGTTTTGACGTTGCGCTTGCCATCGTCGATTAAGTTTTTGTGTCTTCAAACCTTCTCAGCCGGCCTTCAAACTTCTTGTTGATAAGTCTCCGTGGTAACTTCTCCGCGCATGAGTCATATGCGGTTATGACCTGCGCTTTGACTTTCACGATGGGTATTTTACCTCCCCGTCTTGCATTGGTGAGTACCTGCGTTATATGGAAGGATCGTTCCACGACGCAAACGTCGACGTCTCCTTTTTTTTTTTTCCTTCGCACTCCTTCCTTGCCGCGGTTTTCACACCGACCTCGAACTTCGAACGTGGGGTGCAATTTCCTCTCTTCGTACCTTCCTCGTCGGCCTTCTCCATCGTTATGTACATAATGTATACCTCGATTTTTCGGCTTTTCGATTAACCGATAGACAAGACTACGGACTGACATGCCCCTTTCACCCCCGACGGGACCGCGCGCTCGTCGAGTGCCGAAATTCTTCACCACTTCCTTGCCTCTCCCAACACCGTCCCTTCTTCCCGCCCCCACAAATCCTCTCCCCTTCTTCTTCTTCCCTTCCTCCTGGACACTCACCACCATCCGTCCTGGATGTTGGCCCCCAACCCCATTGGGGGGCGGGGGGCCAATCCTTAACCCTAGTACACTACTACAGTACGTCCCCATAAAAATACAATGGAATGAACAAAACCAGTGTCTGTTCTCCAAGAACACGATCACACAACAACAATAAGCATTTGAGAAAACACACAAGGACATAAAATGACGGCGCATACATCTACGTAGTCTCGGCCAGCGGGGACCTACCAGCAGACACATTCGTTTGAAAATGCTAGACTTGCGAACTGCTCGCAGAATACTGGAAGATATTCAACCCGGAACGAACAAGAGGAGTTAGACGGACCAGATCAGCTCCATCATGTACGCTTATTTTTACATGACTCGAACACGAATAGAAGCACCACCGCAACCTTCTTACTTTCACTACCCTGCAGATCTTTGTATATTGCACCATCATGCACACCCTCTCGCTTCTTGAGAGGGACACAAGACATGTAACGACATATCGGGGATTAAAAGAGTACCGCCCGAATCATACCTAGGTATCAACCCCTCTCCATTCATTCTCATTGGTCGGACGGACGTGGTACATCAACGAGAGATAAAAAACCCGTGGTTCAAACAATACGTACGTGTGTATATTAACTGCTAAAGGGCTCTTCCGTGTAACACTAATTTGACTTCTTACATAGGTGTGAAGTCGTGTATTGAACCCACCCCAAACAAAACCCAGTGCTGGTTGACTAGAATAGGCCAAACAATCAAGTCCGGACGATCGGTAGGGTCTCGGATTGCGTCGGGTGTGATGGCGGCCTTGTAGCTTCGAGTTCTGCTTAAGGGATCGTTGTCGGGGATGCGGTTGATACAGATTCTTCCAAAACTGCTTCGATGACTGCAGCCGGCGCCGGGGTCGTGGCCATCGCGGATTATTCTGAATCCTCTGATACCGTTTCGCTAGCTGGCGTGGTTGGAGCCGATGTTGGGGATTGTGTTGGGGACGATGCTTTTTCCGGCACAACCGTCGTCGACGCGGTGGGTGTGGGGGATTGTGTGCTGTCGACCACCACGGTATCCTCCGCCACCGACCCAGTTGAAATGGGAACCGCTGTGACGGCCACTTCTACGTCTTCCTCGTTGGCAGGAGATGGTGTTGGGGATGTCGTTTGGGCCAATCCTGCATCCTCCTCCACCGACCCAGTTGAAGTGGGAACCGATGTGACGGCGGCGTCCTCCTCGGCCGATAGAGTCGGTGTTGGGGATGTCGATTGGGCCAATTCTGTATCCTCCGCAACCGATCCAGTTGAAGTAGGAACCGCTGTGACTGGTGCGTCCTCCTCGGCGGATGGAGTCGGTGTTGGGGATGTCGTTGGGGCCATTCCCGTGTTCCCTGCCGCCAGTGACGATGTTGGCGGAAGCGTTTGGGCCGATACAACAGACGATGGATCTTCCGAAATGTCGGGGAACAGCAAAACCTCTGCCCCCATGTCGAAGTAGTCGAGGTTGAAACCAGCGCTGACGACGCATAGCCAGATTTCGGTCTGTCCGGTGGCGAGGGATTGACCTCCATTCCTGAAAAACGGTGTCAAACAGAGTATGAGTAGACATGAGGGCAGAGGCCACGGAAAGGGGGCGGGGAGGGCCTTGTTCTTCTATTCTTGGGCGTTTTTTTGTGTGTGGCTCGACCACTGGCCGCACGGCGAGCACAGGAAAGACGGCGGGTTACATGTGGTGTTGTCGGTTCGTCGACCAAATGAACGCAGGCATGCACATCGGATGAAGCGGAGGAAACGAGACGTGTGGTTGGCATATTTCACGCAATTTCTCCCCGTGGAATATGAATCCAGTCCAATTTAGACCAATTTGGGTTCTTCTTGAGCCAAAGCAGAGTGCTTTGCTGAACGCGAAGACTTGGAAGTTGTTAAGGCGGAAGATGCGGCCTTCCAAGGTGAGAAGACTCGTGTCGCATAGTTCATCTACAACTGATTTCTCGTACGGTATCCGGGACACGACGGAACTACTTCTGAGCAAGGACTCAAGGTGCCAACTCACCTCCCGAGGACCCCTTCCCATAAGGAAATGTTGAGTCCTTGCAAACACACAGAATCAACTCAGTCAAGCCTACACACCACACCGTCGCCCTACAACGTATGATCACCACCGCGGTACGCCGACTCACGCTTCCACGGTTTCGTAGCTTCCCCACGCTCCCGTGTACGGCGCGGTAACCAGCCCGCTAAGGTCCGTCGCATCATCGTCGTCGCAACCACCCCCCCCCGTCACGACACGAAAGGTGCCACGCTCGTCGATGTTGGTGTACGGGCTAGACACGGAGAAACTGAAGCCCAAGTCCGAGACTACATGTGGTCATCATTGACCGGAGAGAGTGTTTGTTCAGACGGGGGTAGGGGGAGACGCAGTCAGGTGTTAGTGTCTGCCTTTCTTGAAGCCGTGGGCGACGCATCCCTTCTCGCGTGGAATATGCTCACCAACATCCTGCGGCGACATATTCTCTAGGGTTTGCCGCGAACGGGTGCTACGCATTTGGCCTTCCCTTCTCTTGGAGCCGCAAACCCGACTCAAGGAAGCGGCTATGCATGGTCGCCAGCATGCAGCCGTCCACCGACATCGGAAACATCGCCATCACTTACTATCCTCCGTGACGTCGATCGTGTACCGCAAGTACTCGCCGCTCCTCATCCACCCGACGTTGTACCCGTCCCCATTGATCGAGATGTCCACATTTTCACTCGGACGGAATTGCTGTTGTTCGGAGTATTCGGTTGAACAGAGGGCGAATAAGGGGCGTAGGTTAAGGCGTACAGCCTCGCAATAGCGACAAGGTACGGCCACTTGAGGCAGTAGGCTTACGGCAAGTCGAACGACCCATGTTAAAGAGAAAGCTGGGCGCTGGTACATAGACACGCGAAGTAAAAAGACGATCGCCGGGCGGAACCCGCTCCCCGTTAAAACGTCCCACTTCACTCACTGGAACCTCCAACCTTCCGACCTATTATACCCAAACACTACTCTGACAATCCCGTCCTCCCGACTCACTCCTCCGTTGTTGCCTGCATCCGTGTCCGAGTATCCAACACCTTCCCCTCCGTAGTCGAATTCCTCCCCCTCTATTCTGCCCGGGATGGTAGCAGGGACGCCGTCGAAGGCGCCGGTTGGAACGACCGGAGCAGGTGTTGGGATCGGAGGTTCGGCAAGGTCCACCTGGGTCCAATTATGTGCGCAGATGATGGCCAGCGCGCGATATTAGTGAGCACGGAGGAGGGGTGTAGGGTTTGCTCCATTGAAGAGGAACCGTTGTCCATCACGTCCATTCCCCTGGGAAGAAGCACTTTAGGCATACTCAGGGCAAGAAAGCGTGAATTGGTTGGGTTTTGTCATAGTCCGCATGCAGGAAAAGGGCTTTGACAACAGGCAGCGGGTCGAGGGCGTGAGCTGAGAACGAGTGAATGCCTCCGGTGCCTTGGAAAGGTTCTCGAGTAGTACAAGTTAATCGGTAAATGTAGACCATCCGACTAGTCAACGTTGACTAGTCGGATGGTCTAATTTTACCGATTACAAGTTCCCAGCAACTATCCTTCGTACATGAGTAGCGAGCGTTCTCTTCTTGCCTGGCCCGCCCATCGTTTAGTTCAGGTTTTGATGATGTTGTTCTGGAAGGAACTCACAAACGGCAGCTTGACCCTTCAGCATCGTGTTCTGCACCATTTATTACGTGGCGGAATATATGTGCATCCTTTCGATCCAGCACCCTATTCTCTATGCAACACCTAGCAACTGGGCAGACTTGTCCACACTGAAGGCAAAACGCCGGTCGAAAGCGCGCGAACCTCGTCGTGGGAGCAGTAGGTGGAGCATGCAGGCCTCGTGGCAGCCCAGTAGAGCGCCCAAGCCCGCTTGAGACCGGAGTCAGTCCCGCTCGTGCTAAGCAGGAAGTTCAGCGGTAAAAGCAATGTAAGCGACAACAAAACACCACGCAACACGTCGAAACGGTACAGGCGTTTGATATCCAATATTTCCTCCAACATGATTAGCGGTCAGTACCCAAGGATGCTTGGTGGTGATGGCCGGACAACGGCCTACTGTAGCTTTGGTGGGAACAACGGCGGCAGCAGTGCAGATAGGGTTACCAGCTCCCAGCTGTAACCATCACATGTATGTCCCATGTACTTTACACTATGTCCAAGAGATGATGAGGGTAAAATCGACAACGTCTGCGAGCAACAACCGCTCATTCGCGAAGACTTGTTTTTCGTAACTCTTCGAGTTCATTGGATTGGTTAGCGAAGCACTTGAACCTTTGGGGAGGCACGAACTGCCCTAACATGATGTTCCTGGCTGGTGGCACACTTACAGCATTTTCTCGAACGCCTCGTTCTTCTGGATGGTGGCATAGCTCATGTACAAGACCGTGTTCCACGTGCCCTCCGCGCTCTCCACCACAGACTCCAGTCTCTGCGCCAACCATCGGGTGGCCAATATCAAACACGACATCCACATGGTATTGCTGATTGTTGTGGGTGGCGTTTTGGTGAATATCCACGATTCGAAGAAGCATGTCGGGGAAAGCGGCGGTTCTTCGAGGGATTCCCGCGGCTGGAGAAAAAAGTACCTTTTCGCAAGCACGAGGAGGAGCAGGCTTTCGAGTGCCGTCCCCGAATCGAGACTGCGGTCGCAAGTATCATCAAATGCGTGGAATCCCGGAGAGTTTGACCGATATGTGGCAAAGGTTCGGTTTGGCCACGGGGTCGACAATTTTGGAAAACCCATATCTGCTGGTGGAATCGGCCGCGTGGAGATAGTTTGTACTCCACAGGCTTTTTGTGCATGCATCCTGTCGCGAACAAGGACCCTCACAACACACAAGCAAACCTCAACGTCTGTGGACCGCGAGGTCCGCTCGCGTGTTGTGATGGATGAAACGTTAGAGCACGCGGTTCGTTGAAACGTTGAGACTTAAAAACAAAAATTGCGCCGAGGAAAGACATATGACGCCCTGTGGTATCAGACGCCAGTCTCCGAAGGCATGCCTTCTTTATCATTCAGCGTTGTTGGCAATCCCTCTATTTAGTTAGCCCGGCAGCATTAACTCCTTTCCCAATTTCATTAACAACCTACTATCTGAACACCGCGGTGTTAACGTTCTTGTTTAACAGATCCTCCCTCTCTTGACTACATAAGTGTCTTTTGTCGTCCACGTCACATTTTTCATGCACACTGTATCCGGTCATTGGCGGGGTACGTACATGGTAAGTTGCACCTCATCGCTAGACTGGAGATCGCCAAGCATAAAGCTCCACGAAAACAACACCGACATCGAGAAAACGTCGACCGTGAGATCAACAACAACAGCAAATATTCGCTGATGGAGCCGGATGATGGAGGCCTTGAACGCACCTGATCCCACTCTTCCTGGCAGAACTGGGCGTCACGAACAAACTCTGTGATCGCCGTCACAGGGATGTTCTAACCAATGCGGTTGTGGTGAATCCCCGTCGGCATGCCGTAGGACCATCAGGTCAGGGAGGGAACGGGCAATGGAGCAAGGAAGAAGAGTAGTTGTCAATTTCAACTGCTCTTGGCCTTGTGATGGCCAATCTAATATTCGATCGTGCAAAGCAGGTGCCGTGCACGATAGGTGAATGCTCGTGATATGTAGAGTCCCTTGTGTTGTGATGTTGGCACCCTATGAAATCTCTTGCTTTTAACACCAAGCTACCACCACTATGCTACCATTGTAGCTGGAGGTCGCAGCAGTTTTTCATGTCCAAATAATGTTTTTCCGTGTTCCTACTGTATGAATATTCCCACGTTTCGTTTACCTGAATCCCATGGATGTATTCCACATTGTCACCGAACCACGTCGTGTAGTCCACTTTGCTTTCAAAGAAGATCCCTGTCACCTGAAAAAGAAGAGAAATAATTATACGGCCTCGTCAACAAGTACTGATGTGTTCCACATTCTGTTCGTTTTCTTTGTCTTGCTCGTTCGTCGTTTATGCTAATGTTTTCGCATGATTGTGTGCTGGGCCCGACATAGGCTTGCTACCTTGTTCTTGACGAAGTCGTCAGGGTGGTTTTGGTTGCTGTCTTTCAGGAGGAAGTACTCATTGATAGACCTCCTCACGACGCCCGTCTGCAGCCGGCCCAGCCCCTCGATGAAGGCGTTGCCCGTAGCGTTTCCCCACATGGTCATAGCGTAGTAGAAGTTGACATCTTCGGATGTCGATTCCTGCCGTGTAGGTTGAGTTGAGGCACCGTAAGGTTCATGATGAACAGAACATTGCGTGCAAACAACCACAACGGAACACCACCCATATACGGGCCCACGCCCCGGGTATCAGAATAGTGACGGCGAAACAGATAGACAATGCACAAATATCAACTGGACAGATAAGGGCTCCGTCATGGTCGTTGTCGCAACATTATCCAGAACTGGGATTATCAGTAAAGAAAGCACGCGAAACGTGCTAACGCGTCAAAGTCATGTAAAGGTGCCCGTGGCGGTGTCTAGGATATGATATCCCTCCACAGTCGTTGTCAGCAGCAGCTGCGAATGTTACAAAGCTGCCCAATCGACTACTACTTCGACAATCGGAACCTGTTGATGACATTGAGTGTGAATTGCAGCAGGATTGAATTGTTTTTTCAAAGGTGACTTTTTTTGTGGTCGCGGGAAACTGTGTTTCTGATCGGTTCAGCTAGAAGGAAAATGTACTGGAACGTCCAGTCAGGACGGCTCTTCACCACTGTAGCAGCAACAAAACCGGTTGTCGGTAAAAACAGTTGCCCAAGAGCCATGCCAACCTGATCCTTCCCGTCGTAGGCAAAGAGGAGCCCTCTGGCCCAGCTGTGCCCGCTGAACCAGTCGAACGAACGGAACTGAGGGAAGTACGCGTCGGACTGCCGAAGTGACCGACATCCACGGGACGAAAATTGGGAAGATACGGAATAAAGTTTTGGTCAAGGCGACAGAAAAGTGGGAACAGTGGTCAGTAAATGTACCAGTACCGGCGCCAAAGGGGCAGAGCAACCGTTTTCCAACCAGGATCGTGAGGAATGCCGTGTGTTCTCTTGTTGAGCAATAAGGTACTGGAGCTCGCCACGCAACCTGCTTGCCCGCATCCTTGGCCAGAAAAAAGTGGGCTACTATGCAATTCACAAATCTATCAAACACATACAGCCAATGGAAAATCGAGAGAGAATCGTCTTGGCAGTGAAATGGGTATCTGCTCTTCTTGCCTGGTCGGGGCTGTTGACGTCACGGATCAAGGTGTTGACCCAAGCGACCTTCGTGTTGTCGATCCAGCTCGGACGAAGGTAGGCCAAGACAGCGGCGACGTTTATCACGTAGGAGTAGTGGAAGTGCTGCGAGCCGTGCGTGTCGAACAGGAGGCGAGGGAGAGAGGGAGGGAAGGGCAAGACAAAAGATGAAACCGGCAGCTCTGGTGAAGATATCACGCGATTCGTTGTCGTCATGCGAGTGTTTGCATGTAGTGGACACAGTAGTAACGCCGTTGGCTGGCAAACGATCCAGGGTGAAACTCTCGAAACCACGCAAGTTCCACGTAGTACTAAATAACGGCGGGTATCTACAAGCACGCAATATTTATTTCTTCGCGGAATACGCTCGATGCATGTTTCTTGCTTGCACACAATGTGTCACTCGCCACATATGTGGATGCGAACACCGCTGCATCTTGCTAAGCCCACAAAAAAAAATCGTAGTTAGTAGCACGCGCGCTTTCCCCCTCTTTGCTCACGTGGTCGTTGTAGTAGGACGCGTAGAAATCCGCTGCACCGTTCTCTTCTTCCAGCCCTTGCTCTCCGATAACACCACCCCAGACCTGTGATCCCAGCAGCGTTTACGTTTCCATCACAGGATTAGAAGTACGAAAGAGACAGAAACACATTGTTAGTTGTGGACACTGTCTCTTTTGGCCTCGTGGAATTTTGCGGATCGGCCCAAATCGATGTCGATTCGAATCACGCTTGGAGGCATCAAAACACCCGTTTAAAGGTGTCACAACCTACCGGCGATGCACCGGCTGAGGAGCTATCCGTCAACGCTCCTTTATGAAGTAAAAGCGGCAACACCCCTTGCATGGAGGTCGACAAGCTCTAGCTGTTCTACTGTGCCGCACTGCCACTGCGAAATGGAATGATAAGGAGTGAGTATCCTCGCCAGCTGCATTTAATATACGACGACACGACAAAACGCTTACCGTGTCGTAGACAAGAGCGTTTCCGTTGGTGTGCTGCAGGTACTCGTCGAAGTTCTGTTCCACCTGGTCCAAACATGTCTCCACCAGGTCGTCCCTGCAAGCAGTGAAGGCGTATGAGTACAATCAACGAATCTCAAGCAGTATCACTTTGTCTCCAGTGAAGCGCCGCAGACAGGGGACAACACTTTAATAAAGAGAGAAGCGGTCACATGGTCTTTGCCCCCTACCAAGCAGAACTACACAATGGGTGGCCGAATTTGTGGCGGTGATGACCACGCTGGTTGACATGTCCCAGGGTCGGCGGGTTTCCAACTGTAAGGCCTACACTCAACGATTGATTTGAATAGCACCCGACACAGGGGCGCGGTGATGCTGAACCCCTCACCTCCCGAGCTCTGCGGCCACCAGGCATAGTTGACTGTAGGCCATCAGGTACTTGGCACCAAAGTACACGCTTCCGCCAGCCACTTCTTCTTTGTTCAGAGGAACGGCAATCTCGGCTTCCAGGTAGTAAGTAATCCATGCCCTTCATACGTATAACCCAATGGAGGTGTTGATGACATAGAGCGAGTGTGTTCAGAAAAGCACGACCCGCTGGAATTCTCTCGTTAATGAACCAAGGATCGGGAGCGTCGATGGTTCAACTGGCAAACCGGTCAATCGCACCGTGCAAATGATGGGCTCGAGCTCAGTATGGATGGATGGCCCTATCAACTCGAGTCGAGTCGAGTTTCCAACAACGAGTTTTGGAAAACTAGTCGGCAACGATATTTCCACTTGCCAGTTCCATGCTCCGAAAACTCGGACCCTACCAGCTAGCGCCGGGTTGAGTTCCCCACGCTCGAACAACAAGAGTTAGCCACGCCACTCGTAACAACGTGTTGCCGTTTTGTTACAAACGAGCTCACATCTGCAAAGAGTCGGTGATGCCAGACATGCTCGGGATCCACTCGAACTCGGGCAGTTCGTTCTCCGCGACAATCCAAACCGTGCCAGTGAATAGCTCCATGTCTCCCTTTGTCGGGCTGGCGAGATAGATCCCCGTCCTCTCGGCCGTGCTGCTGCGAACCTTGCTCTGGTTCGTGGCCAAAGGAGCGCACACAAAGTCGAGATTATGTCAACAAAGAAAGGTCGAAGTATGTCCGTTCTCGAGACGGTAGGGGGGCACAGATGCGACACAAGACGGGGGGGTGCCCGCATGAAAACCTTCGCTTTACCGGGGTGTGGGAACACAAAAAACGTGAGAAAAAAACCAATCAAGATGACGATACCTGGTGATGGGGAAGGCCATAGTGGAGAAGTCCTGATCCGTCGCCAGCGGTCGTCCAATCGATGCGGTACCTCCCTCTGTCCGTGTTGGTCTTGTGCATCCACGTCTGTACCCGTGCAAGAAAACGGTGGTGGACGAAAACATACTCCGGGAATAAGGCCAAGAAGCGCCATCAGTGACCATGACGATGGCGTGTTTGTTGGCATTACAATTACAACGCCCGAACAAGCAGCCGCAAGAGGCATCGAGGAACCGTTTAAATCATGCCATACTCCGACACGCTAGCCAAGAACCAAACGTTGGTGTACATAATGTGTCTCACAGCCGAATTGATGAACTACAGCGCCCGGACAAGCGAAAAACTTGGTGAACATCAATACTATGGCTAAATACGGTAGTTGTCGTGAGGCTGAAACTGACAAACATCGATCGCACTCTTAGGGCGCAAAACAAAACCTGAACTAAAAAACACGACCAACCGATCCGTCGTAGGTGTCCCTCTCGAAGCGGCGACAGCAGGTCACTCACCGTGAGCTCGGCCTTGGTTGGATATGATCCGGAGTACTGGTCCAAGAGAGACACCGCATCGTCGTACTGAGAGTGGGTCTCCTCATACGGGACCCGCGTCACTCTCAGGGTGCCCGACATAGGCAGAGTTGCTTTCAGCCTGTGTTCAACGCCCCATGGTATTGTTCGCGGAAGCATAAGGATATCAACCGGACTGGGTGGGAAGGCTACAGGTACGAGGAGGAGGAAGCTAAACAATGCGTGTGCCTCTGCAGTAGGCACGTTCAAGGCGGGTCCTTTTCTGTCCTTCCCAGTATTTCGTTCAAACAAGTCGGTGGCAATGGGAATGGTTGCAGGCAGGATTGTCGACCACATGGAAACACCGAGGACGGTGGGTGGCCTATAATTGAGGGGGGCAGGGGCACGGGGAAGGAGATGATGCAGCGTTCACCACATCAGGGGCGTCACAACCGTGGCAGATGATTAGCACAAGCAAGCGTGGCTGTACACAAGCACGAGAAAAGACGCAGAGCAGACTCACACGCTAGGCGTGTCGTCCACAGCAGGCTCGTACTCCAGCTCCAGCGAAGTGTCGCTCGAGTAGAGGATCCAAGTGGTGAGGTCATTGAGCTCGAGCACGAACCGACCGTCACTTGATGTGTGGGTCTGGTCCGCGACTGCCTGTTTACCGCAACCAAGACATGCAGAACCGCTAAGATCAGATCAGGTTAAGGGGTCGCGCTATTTCCTCGTGTGAAATTGCTCTGGGGGGCTACTCTTGGAGAGTGGGACCCGTGTCGGGTGATGATTAGGATAGGGGCGGGGAGCACCATTTGCTTGGGTTATCACATGATCTGGAAATATCCAGGTGGGTGTTGACATCATCCACCTCTCTGCAAGAACACAGGTTCTTGACCTGAAGGTGGGTTTTCGTTAAAACCATGCACCCCAACTTGCGTGGTACTTGAAGAGCGCGAAGAAACAAAACACACAATCGGGAAACGAACGAACGAACAAACGAACGAACGAACGCATGGGGGCGTTCACGCATTGCCGAACGTTTCTTCGACGAACTCGCGGCCTTCGGTACATCTTCGCGCGTTTCTTTCCCTGAATCTAACAAGAAATAAAAACAGCGAATACCGCGCGTCATGTCGAAAAGAGCCCGAAACAAATACCCTGCGAAAGCCTAAATCGCGGCAAGAAAGCTACGCGTCGACGGAAAAAGTAAAATGCTTGAGACACGAAAAAAAAAAAGGAAAACCCCGCTTACGTTTCCGTTAACCGAGAGGATGGCGTGAATGCTCGACACCTCAGGGGTGAAATCGTCGTACATCACCGTAGCGTATGCCTGTAATTAACAGAGGAGTAGGACAAGCAGCGCGACAATAGATTAAATTGGGCCCACGAAAGGGGATCAACAAGAAAGATGAGGAGGAGGGGGAGGAGGAGGAGGGACGACAGCGAGCACCCATCATTGTCGGGAGAGAAACGTCAGACAGTAGGAAACAATAAATACGTGCGAAAATGCGTAAAACGAAAAAAAAGAAGAATCGGGGAAGATCTGTTCGTTGGCAAGGTGGAAGAATGAAACAGTTGGGGAAGCTAGGAGAAACATGGCCACCAAGATTCTTGATCAATGTGAGGTTACGATTCGAGACCGACGTGTTGAAATACGTTAAACAATCCGACTTTTGGACGATAGGTATTCGGTAAGCCTCAAGACGGAAAGACTGCAAATGAACGAACGTTGGTCGGTCTTACCATTCCTCGCACGAGCCACGTCTTCATGCTTCCATCCACCATAGCAGAAGAAAAACTGACGAATGCGGTAAACCCCTGGTCGTCGAAGTCGGTCAAAGTCGCCTCTTGGTTGGTGTGCAACTCCTGCAGCACCAGAAAGAGAGAGAAAAACGCCAATATCACAGAACAACAGTGCTCTCGATTCAGTCTCAGCCGGTGAAAGTTACATCTGGGTGTCGTTCGTGTCAATGCTGTTCCACGCAGTGGAGGTTTGCAGGTTCATCGCAGCGATTGCGTCTGGCTTGAGCGTCAAGTTGGGAGCCAAACTCTTGTCCTATGTGCGTTGGTGATGCCGGAATACACTTTTTCTTACATTTTTCCATCGTGAAACCCAAAGCAAACGAAAAGCAACGATACATTCGCTTTGTACTGTGACCGCGTGTTTCGACGACACCTGCGTGCAGCATGGCGTCAGAAGGTAGTGGTGTTTAGCGCCGGGATCCCTTTGACGCACATTGCCGCACATTGCCACACGGACAGACGACTTCTCCACAAGAAATAGCTTTGCCCTCCTTTTATTCGAACGTGCCGCTAGAGCCCCACACACACGTTGGCCCCCGGCATTACCAAGCCCGCATAAACCCAGACTGCCCTGCTTGCCACGCACACACCAAGCCCAACAATACATACCACAGCGCTTAGGACGATGTCCTTGGTTGTGGTAGTAGCGTACCACTCGAGGCGGTCATCCTCCGACCTCTCCCCCTCGAAAAACTTGGGATATGCCACGCTCATCCCGAACGGGTGGTCATCGTTCACGGACACGATGTACGGCAGAGTCCACGCCGCGCGGGCGGGGCCGTCGAGCTGTTGCGACGTGTCGGCCGTTCAAGAAGCCAACAATGTCGCGCGAGAAGGCGTGCATGTGTGTTTTATTAGTGCGTGAGGTAGATGGATGGAGAGGAGGGATCAAGGGATGAGTCATGGGTAGGTCGACAGACAGAGCGAGAGTGAATCCAAGCCCAGGAACAAGCATTGTTGTTGACCGTAACAATCTGCAGCAGATCCTCAGTTGGCGTGCTCGCCGACGTATCGAGCTGTGTTCTCGGCAGCAGAGAAAATAAAGAGAAGGAGGTTCGTAATATCTCAAAGGAAGGAGAAGGCGAGTGAGCTATCCTGGACAAAGGGGGTATGTACCGCGGAGAATGTAGGAGGCAGGGTTCAGCTGCCTTGAGACACAATAGTTCAAGAAGAATCGGGGAGCATTTCGGAGCTTGCAACGCTTAGGCCGTCATCCGGCCAGCGGTTCCCGGCGCACTTCTTTCCTCGTGTCTGTCTTACCAGGAAGTTCGAGTAGAACTTGTTGGTTTGCAGCAAGGCCGGGCGCACGTCCCGCTCGCTCGACACGCCCGCGGGGAATACTACGTTTTCCCTGCGGTCGAAGGATGCCGGCGGTTCACCGTCAGGCAGGGCGTTCCCGCGCGGCGACGTTCTCAACCAGTTCCCCGCCTGAGCCGTCCTCGACAGGAGGGCGGCCACCAGAAGGCCGCTGGCGATGCTCAACATGGTGCTGCTGCTTGGCGTCGTCGGCTGTTCTACCCCGCAGGCGGTGGTGGTGTGTCGTTGCGTTTCTGAAGTTGCGCCGACGAAGAGGGCAGTTTGTCAAGGGTGCAGATTCTCCATCAACATTGACGGTGTCATTGTGGCAGCTCACGGTCAATAGGATGTACTCTGATAGTGAACTCCGAATTCTGTTGGTGAGATCTCCTGAGGAGAGCGTTACAACGCATTTTTGACAGACGGAACAGTCGTCGTCCTGTTGGGCAATACTTTGCCGAAGGGGAGTGACGTGTGCTGTTTATCGACAACCAAAAGGGCAAACAATAACGGGTCCTTTTTTTTGCTCCAGTCTTGCAGTCCCATCGCCTGCGTGGGCTAAACTTATCACGGTCGGTAGTGACCGCGAGCGAAAAAGACGTCCGTTAAGACCTTCGCTGATGGGCCACCGACGACTTAGAATTCTGGAACGATACCAGCGACACGCTGTGAGAGTTGGCGACTGCTCCCTACCTGAACGCCGTTATTTCCCGCGGTTGACGTACGCATCCGTGTGATTCTGTGTGTATAGTCTACAGAGCTGAAGTCGTTCTCCTGTACAAACTATCGTCCTACAGTAGTACACCTACATACATAGGTTCCAACCTTGCTGTGCTATGCTTCCCTCACATCAACCTGCGCGGCCCAACCTTTGCCCTTTCCATGTTGCACCTGGCGCGTCCATAAAGTTGATACAGCGACACCATGGGCCTGGTTTTTGCCTGGTGAGTACCAGCGAAAAACTCGAATCCATGGAAGAGTTGACCCATGCGCGATCGTTGAAAATCAAATGTTTCTTCGCATGTCACCCTCGCCCTTGCCAACCTTCCTCCATTCCTTGCGATTTACATAGACCCATCCGCGGCCAGAAAAAGCAGATAGATCATCTTCTGCTTGCTTCTTCGGACTATGCACCCCCGTGTGCACTCTTCGATGAATAGAACGCAGATTGGTTGTACATGTTATGTTGAGAGCAGTACTATGTAGTCTTCTACTCTGTAACGACCGGTAGGTTGCAATGGCGGCCTGTGTTTTCGCTAAAGCGGAGGCCGTGTTGAGTTCAATATTTTTGAACGCTGCCACCACACACAGTAGCAGATATGCCCCCGATAGTATTACCGTTGACCGCGAAATAAAACCGCCAAGAAAAACAATTCTACCTGTCTTTTCTCCTCGATCAACTCTTTGCTGGAGACAGAACGCAAGAGCGCTCGAAGTGTGTACGCCGGAGTGAGGAAGGCAGGGAATAAATGCGCCTGGACGATCTTTCCGATCCCCGTGCAAAATACTGTACATAGATTGTACATATGATAGAAGTTTGTTTTCAGTTATCATGGCATCGTATGGGAACAATCACATCCATCCTTGCGGACTACGGCACTGTACCCGGAACCAGATGGCAACCTCCATTTTCCAACCGTCAACATCCACCTGTAACTACTAGCTGGAATATGCATATGAATACGCATGTTGTATCGATCTGTCGTTTTCTGCTGCAGTTTTTTTTCTATCGTACACAGCGCCGGAACTTAACCCACGTGAGGACACTTTTCATGCTGAAGCCAATTGAGCAAATTTTTCCAGTACCCAGGCGATATGCAGTTTTTCGACCTAGGGGACACGCGGGTTGTGAACTTGGCAGATGAGATTGTATGTACTCGGAATCGGGTGAGCTATGTGAAATGTCTGGACTGGTGGTGCACAAACATGCACCACTGATTGATTACCACCTCATCATGCCGCTTGCATTATTATCGAAGTACGACAAGACAGCGTTAAAATACGGGCGGGTGCACGACACGGCGGTGTGGACTTGCCAAGAATGATTGATGCGGGGATAATCCGCTATACGTACAAGTCGTCGAAACAACTCTGTGTATACCCAACGCCACCGAAGAAATTCCCACGCGCGCAAAACCAGTACGGACATATGAAGGTACTGGGTAGAGAGAGATCGGAACGGTTTAAAATGTGAAGACAACAACAACAATATGGATACAAACAGTGTCATCAGGGGATAGTCTATCCGCCCACGGCTCGTCACCGGATCACTATCCAAATGGCTACGAAATGAGTAGACAGGCTTTGTAGCAGCAGCACAAGGAGCTCCGAGTCAGATAGCAGTCCACGATGGCCGATTCGAAGAAGATCGCGACTGGAACACTTGTGCTCTAAGCTGAGAGGAGCACATCAACAACAGCATATTTCATACATGTGGTTGTGGTACAGGGGCGGAGATACCTTTATCTACCGTACATATGCATACAACTTTACACACCTCGAGGGCGACAGCAATTGGCATCACGAAAAGAAGGTGCACGAACGAGAAGCTTGGAAGAAGCAGTTGCCAACCCGAACAAGATCGCGAACGGAACGTTTGTGCTACTGCTGTAGGCTGAGAGGATAAGGAGCACACAGACAAACAGTGACTGACTGGGTTGAGGTACGGCGGAGAAACCTGCACAAGATCACCAACTCCCAGGAGGATCGCGACGTCCAACGATGGGGTTCGAACCTGTTGTAAACGCACGGTAGCACGTGAGGTGAGCAGACAGATCGTCTCCTGATGAGGCTGGTCTTGATCTCTGATCTCTGACCACTTTGTCGCTGGCGTGTGTGTGGTCGTTGTTCTGTTGGGTCGGTGGGGCACCGAACGAGAAGTCGGCGTGCTGGGACGATTGATTGTGATGGTTGTGGTTCACCGCCCTACCGTCGGGCCGATGGCCTCTCCGTGGAAAGTCACAGCAACAGTGACGTTGGAAATGTGCGCACCCCACCGCAGTTGTGAGAGGTGAGATAGCGGACCGGATCGGGCCGGTAAGTGACAATGGCAAGAGTCTGCTGCTGTTGGGGGACGGCAAGATCCGGCACAGACCACTCTGCTTTTGTGTATCGCTATGACCAAGCCAGCTCACCACGAGTTTCCAAAACACACCCTCACATTGCAACGTGGAGGCTGTTCACATTGTGGAGCCCCGCGCTGCCTGTCACAGCTGTGAAGTGTACGCTGCACCAGCTGCGCTGCACTGTTGCCAAACAGAGCAGGTGGATCTGCGGCCCAAAAGAGAGAACCGGCGGGTGAAAAAAGTGTTCTTGTTATTTTTGGTTCTCTCTGCCTCCGACGCCAAGATTTCCCAGGTATGCATACAGTATCCATATTCAACCGTTTTCGGTGCATTGAAACAGTGCACCACCACCGAGATAGCAGTATGAGACCACCTGCACCACGCGTTGTTGCCGTCCATCGCTTCGGGCCAACACACTTTCACGCAACAACACGAACGAATCCAGGCCGAAATGTAGCAAATAGTCTGTAGCCGTTCACCGAACAAAATTTCGACGGGTATTTTTACTTCTGTCCATAATGATCTTCGTGTGTGTGCGTCCTTCGTCTCTCCGCCACGACACATGCGTGCGCATTCCAGTGGGGAGAGTTCACTAACCCTACTGCCGTAGTATCTCATGTTTCGGCTGGAGCGGAAATAATGAAATAATGGATTCCTCTAGCGGAGATGATCGATGAAGCCACGTGTCGTCATGGTTGTTATCCCATGCACACTGGTTGGAGCAGAAGAAAATGCATTCCTCCAGCGGAGATGACCGATGAATTTTCATGTCCGGGTCGGGGTACGTTCTTTTAGGGCACAATTCTGGATAAATGCGCTGGATGAGTGGGGGCTTTGTGAGCTGCCTTCTGAACCCAACCCTGAAGATGGGATGTGCGGGGGCGAATAAACGTACTCGTCATACTGCCTATATATGTTGGTGTGGGATGGCTATTGTAGGCGGGTTCGCAATTCGTGCGCCACCACCCCCTCATGCCATGATAATCGCTCGGCGTGTGTGTGGCCTCCCGCCTCTCCTCCACCACGATCTTGCCGCCACAAAATTGCACTACTAGTCTACATATATTATTCTACATATCTTTGGAGATAAGGTGGTGACCATACATGCAGCTTCCAACCATGCTGAACCGGTCATGTTCTGAGCGTGACTCGTATCTCCAGTAACCTCACAATTGTCGCCTGGAAATGTGTTGTTGTTGTTGTTGTTGTTGTTGTTGTTGTTGTTGTCTTCACATTAAAAACCGTACTGGTCTCCACTCTGTCCTAATGTCTGTATGCACTGGTCCAACTGACGCGGACACCTTCCGTGGTTACAAGCCAACTGCCCCCTGTAGGGGAGGGGGTACACCTTCCAAAAAATAAAGAAATAAAAATGGACCCCAGAAAATTCCTCCAAGGCGCGATTTGTTATCCAACCGAAAATAGATCAACAGTAAACAAAACTATTGTTTGTATAATCGGGATAAAGACGATCGACCACCCCGGTCAAAGGGATGAAAGAACGAAAGGCAGAGAAAGAAAGAAAATCCATTGCTAATCTGTCTCAGACTCTTTTCTATGATAGAGATGGTTTCGTTGTGTCATATTAAGAAAAATAAAAAAAAAATACAGTAAGAGAAACAACCTGTCTGTGTGCGCCAGAAACGTTCGTGGTGGGTATCCTATGGTCGGATCAGAAGTAGCTTCGTCCATTCGATTGAATGTGATGACAGCAACAAAACACCAGCGCTGTGTGCTGCTTGGGAAATCAATCGTGGAAACACAGGCAGCGTTCTCTGACGCTATGAATTCAATACCAATCTGTCTTTGACTCTTGGGTCATCATCATACACAAAAAAAAAAAAAACTGCAACAAATCCTGTGGAGGAAATGGCCTGTGAGGGGCAGTCAGATCAGCAGTCATCTACATTGGATTGCAGTACTAATTCATGAAACGTTTCATGGACTTCCATGGACCATCTAGACTAAGCAATGAAGGAGTGTCATGGAAGCCCATGGCACCGTGTCCATGTTGGCATGCGCTCCTGCAGCCGCTCCAAGTCCAGCAAAATGGTCAGGTGTGGGCTGTGGCTGCAAGCCGGGTTGCACCATCGCCGCGACCATCGTAGAGGGTTGGGGCTGTTC